ACAACTTCCGCTTTCCCATTTCCGTACACAAACGCTCAGCTGATGACGTGTACACTCTACCACCGTTAGCTGGCTAGCTAGCTAGCCCAGACACCTGTCAGAATAATAACGGTGTTATATGAGAATAAAGCAAAGTTACAACACATAAAGAAACACGGAGGAAACTCCAACAAATCGCGGAAGATGGAGGCGCTTTATCATCAGACAAACAAGTAAGTGTATCTTCTGTGGAAACTGTAGACACTCAGATAGCTAACGAGCTAATTACATGCGATTGAACTTCATTTGATTGAAATTTAGCAAAGAAATATCACCTTTGTGGGGTTTATATGGTCGCTAAAAGCTTCACAAAGATGATTGTTCACGTCCATTAATGTTATCGGGTTTGTAGTTATGTACTGTGTTGGTTCCGATCCATTAACGTTATGTTTTATTCTTCTTTAGAAAAATCCAGGAGGTGCAGTCTTATATGGGAAATCTGGAGAGGACGGATCGTCAGTCAGTCCACTGTGAGTAGAAGCTACACCGTTTAAACTGTCCCACTGTTATGAATATTAGTGTTAATGCAGTCATTTATAAAGCAGGTGAGGATTGACTTGTACTAAAAAATAAATACAAGCACACTGACAATAAGTTAAAACAATAAACTAAAGTTAATCAAAATAACAGATTTACCATATGCCAAACATACCACTGCCAGATGTCCAATTATAGTCCTAAAATGATGTTTGAATAGTGTTCATGTAATAGTGTCCACCCCATTATCATATTATAATATTTCCTTCCTTTACCATAACCAGCCTGCTTTTGTGACAGTTTCAAAGAGCTATATACTACATAGAAAGTGTCTCCTTATTTAACACATCAACATGTAACAAACAATTATCAATATAGGCACCTACTCGCCTGAGTTATGAGCTTGGACACAAAATTAGAATTAGAAGGTTTTATATCCAAGTGGTTTTCTAACAAGAAATGTGCCTTTGTGTGCATACAATGATGTTAAGAGAAATAAAAAATTCAAGAACATAAACAGAATGGGAAAAAAGAATAGAAAAAGTAGGCTACAACAACATATAAGAAATGCTATAAAAAATATGATAATACATATTATGAACAATATGTTAGTTTAGTGCAGGATGACCACTTTACCCTAATGCTCAGAAAATAGTGTTCAATCGTTTCAACCTCATTTATTAGGGTATAGGATATTATCTCAAAAGCCAGCACTAACTATTTTTGTTGATGCCACCACTTCTGGCTCGTTTGTTCTTTAAATCCTTAAATTCTAATTCAGTACAGACTCCTTGTTATGGCTGCCTCCCCTGATATAATGACGGAATGAAAGGAGGGGAGGTGGTGTCTCTGGAGGATTGTTCTCTGTGTTTGGTGCCGACTCAAATCAGTGGTGGGCCAGGCTGGTGCCAGGACAGGAAGGAGCAGGGTGGGTGCAGTGACTGAAGCTGGGAGGGCTTCTTCTAGATAATGGTGGGAGCCAGGCAGTAGACAACCCCCCCCCCTTCCTAAAGTGTGACATCAACTTGTGTTTTAACCCAGAAGAGGATGTAGCATTCATGACTAATGGGACGGAGAAATAATCACCTACAAAAACTAAATAATTGATAAAGGATTTTTTCATGCTGAAATAGCAGAAAATGCTAAGCTCTCAAATATGAACATTGCCTTATTTTCTCTGTTTTATTTCCTATTTTCTAAACTGAATACCTATTACATTTTGACTGACAAAACAAGCCATTTAAATCCAATCCCATTGGACTTGGGGTAGCCATTTCCCACAATGTTCTGACATTGTATGGACTAAATGAAAAATTGATAATCAAAAAATCAGGACAACTATTGTTAGTTGGCGCCTAACTAATAAGGAGAGTTATTCTGCTAATTAAAACCACTGAAGTCACTCTGGAATAAACACCCAGAAAGGAATAGTAAATCTAACTTTCAGACAAATGTATTACATTTATGTTGAATGGATCAAAATGATAAATGAGGTCTTCTTTCTTGTAATTATACCGTATTTATTGTATTCTTTTTCTCATTATTCAAGTGTTAGAGAATGAGCTACAGGCTAGAACCGACCAGATCTTCAATCATCTTGAACGCCTGGAGATCCTAGCCAGCAAGGAGCCACCAAACCGCCGCCAGAACGCCAAATTGTGAGTTTGCAGTGGCCCAATTGATGGTGACCCCCAAAGCCCCAGAGCTGGCAGGGACAAGCCATATCTCATAAAGGCACAGAACAGGGTGTAGAAGAGGAGATGCGTAGCCCTGTGGCGACGTGGCTCTATGAAAACATTTCCTCAGGAGCCCCGTCATCACCAGCATTCCTGCTGCATTGGGCGAAGACTCGTTTCTGAGCTGGGTAAACAGGCCTTAGGGGACACGGTACACCCCATCCCACATCACTCCTCAGATCTCAGTACAGCTCCAGTTGGGTCTGAGTGAAGCCATGGAGACCGTGAGAAACACCACATGAGATCTGAGGGGAAAAAGATGTTCTCATCAGCCGAACAATTACAAATAGTTACAATAAACTGAGGTGCAATGACGCGTTGTCATAAAATATGCTGTGGAGCGTTTTCCAACTTCATATCAACGATGAATCACCAGTGTTCTTTATTTGCTTTCCCTCAGGCGAGTGGACCAGCTGAAGTATGATGTCCAGCACCTTCGCACCGCCCTGCAAAACTTCCAGCAGCGACGCTACGCCAGAGAGGCCCAGGATCGAGACCGGGAAGAGCTCATGAGCCGCACCTTCACCACCAATGTAAGTACCTGAAAACAGGGTGGCAAGTAATACAAAACAATACTGTTTGGCACAGTAAGGTTCCCTTTGTACAAAACATGGAGAGGCAGCATTTAGCTATTATGCCCCGACACTCTGGAACAAACTACCCAAATCATGCACGTCCGCAGAAACGCTTACCATTTTTAAATCGAGACTAAAAACATATCTCTCTGCCGCTGCTTTTAATTGAGCTGCTCATATTCGAACTACAGTATGCCTTTTAAACATGTATTGTATACCTGTGGTGTTTATTTTAATTTTATTATCTTTGCTTTGTAATGCCTGTTGTAAAATGCCATTATATAATAATGTGTTTTACTGTATTTATTCATAAAAAGTCTTTTAATTTGTTTTGTAAAGCACTTTGAATTGTCGCGTACAGAAAAGTGCTATATAAATAAGTTGCCTTGCCTTGCCTTGCCTTTGTTGCACCTGAATGCAGCATACAAAGGTCCAAGTCCTCTGACAAAAACGTGTTGGTGAAAATGTGATAGTGCTCCATGAACTTTGATTCTTCATCTGGTTGTCACACGTGCTTGTTTCCGCAGTGGAGCATGTGATAACTCAGGAAGATAAAGTGTTATATTTGTGTTCAATAGGACGCAGATACCTCCATCCCCATAGATGAGACCCTACAGTTAAACTCCAACTTGCAAAACGCACACAGAGGCATGGACGACCTCCTGGGCAGCGGCAGTAGCATGCTGAACGGTATTAGAGACCAGAGATCTACACTGAAGGTGAGTGCATATGACTTTATACAAAATAGGCAAAATAATCTATCTTTCCCCTCTCTTTTTTCTAAATAATGGCCCAGTTCAAAAGGTTACATTTGATGGATCTGCGGTTTAAATTGTATGATGCTTGACCCAGTTTCTGGTGTCCACATTGATCATAATGGTCCTATTGTTAGTGTGCGTATGCTCGGCTAGAGGGTGAGTCCTTGTTTCCAGGGAGGAGATGGTCTTCCTGGCTGTGCCTCAGGCCTCGTCTTATCAGGGTGTGTCTGCTGATCAGCACTCATGGCGCGGTTGTCTCGCCATGAGAAACTTCTGACGGAGTGGCGCGTCAGACAGGGTGTTGGCACTCAATGTCAACCAAAATCAAACTAATTAGTTTCGATAATTACACTGTGTTCTTATAATGCCTGAATTGTCCATAACATGTTGTATTTATGGCTTAATCTAACTTGTGAGATCATTAGTGTTTACATGGCTCTGTTTTGGCTCTGCACAGGGGACCCATAAGAAGATGCTGGATGTGGCCAACATGCTGGGCCTGTCTAACACAGTGATGAGACTGATAGAGAGGAGAGCCACCCAGGATAAGCTCATCATGGTTGGAGGCATGCTGCTGACCTGCGTCTTCATGTTCCTGGTGATCAGATACCTGGGCTGACCCCCGTCCAATCACAGCGGGCGTTTTCTGATCCGTCGTGGACATTTCTGCAGGACATCATCCCTCATGATATGAAAGAACTTAATTTTTATTAGATTTGACTACATTTCTTGAAATAAATTGTGTCAGTTTTTTTTCCACCATTTAAATGATTATTGGCACGTGAGAAACAGTGAAGCCCTTGATTACATTCAGTATTTTATTCCACTTGAAGCTCCAAAAGAGCATTGAACTCTGTCTCAAATTTATATTCTATTGTTTTTATCCAAACCACTCTGATGCTGTAAATCACTCTTGTGAATGGACCCAAATGGCTTTTTCTAAAGAATTCACACTGATCTTCATACTCAACTTGCTCTCCTCTCCAGTGAAAAGCCCTTTCTGTGTTTTGTTCCTGAATCTGTCTGTAATGTTATTCTGCCTTCATAGAAATACATACAATTCTCCATGTTTCATTATAAGGCATCTCAAGAATAATCCCATAAGATGTTTTTGTTTTATGTTTTAAATAACAGGGTTGCAACAATAATCTACAATGTAAGCTACAGTTAATTTGTTATTGTTTATATAGTTTCTCTAGGATGTAACCTTGGGTCAAATCTCACTATGTGAGTGATTTAATTCTCTTAATAAAACAAAACATGTTTCATTGCATTGTATAGCTTCAACTGACTCGTCTTGTAACAGGAACAAAGTGCAGGTCACATTGTGTTAAACATTTTTTTTTTAAATGAACTGTATATCAATATTAAAACCTTAAATTCCTTCTAGGATGTGTCAATAATTAGCATCAACATTTATTTTAATGCAGTTTATTTTTTGGAGCAGTAACCGGAAAATAGCATACTTGCCCAACATGAGAAAATGTCTCGATCCAGTGGAAAAAAACAGACATTTTGAAGCCAAGGCTCTAGCTTGCAAGCCTAATATAATAGAACGTTCCTATGCTTATGGCTTCACAGTTCATTATACACTCATTAAAAGGAGCTGAGGTAAAAGAAAAACACACATCAAAAGCAAAATCGGTCCTTTGTGAGACACAAGGGTTAAATCTGAGGTCCTAATTCTTCTGCTGAGAAGTTTTTTGTTGATCTACAGCTTTCACAAGTATTAAGGCAACTAGGGCGCCACCTAGTGTTTAATATTGGACACTGATCCCTACAGGGACTGATGCTGGCGTTTATTCTAATGACTGCCGAGTGGTTGAAAGATTAAATGTTAACATGTGAATTTCTTTAACCCCGCATATTATGGAACAACACATGAACTCAAGATTTTATTTGCTGAAACACAGAGGTGCTACTGCTTCACAGATCCCTATCCTTTGCCATCCCAGCCACTGTTAACCGGGTTCATTTAGAAACAAACTTGATAGAATACATTTCACGTGACCGTCTTCCATCCATCTTGTAATTCTGCTTTTACCAAACTGCTAGAACGTTAATAGGTTAATCTACAGCCGCTTTATTTACAAAATTACACAAAAGCAAAACACAGCCCTTCTTTTGAAGAGCATTTTGGAAAATAATTTAAAAACAGAAAAATACAATTATTGCAGTATACTACAATCTTATTGTTACATGATGCAAACGCACCATCTCGATGTACAGATTTTCAGTGCAATTTATTCAGGTGCACCCCCACACAGGGATCATGAGCTTTGCCTCAGAGCGTCAGGGATGTTCAAACCCCTCCTTCAACCACATAAGGTTTGATTCATAAGGGACATTGTCATACCGACTGGGACACCATAGCTGTCATTGTATATGGTGATCATTGGTGGGATTCTTCACATTACACACTGATATATGTACACGTTACTGCATTACAAATGAATTGAGACCAAGGATCCAATAAAGATCAAGTAGTCATATTAGAACATAAACAATACCAGTAAATATGAAGTAGTCTGTCTCTGAAAGGTACATTATAGAGTCAAAGCCTACCACGTACTCCTCATCTTAACATGGTTCAGCTTATAGCTTCAGCCAGTACGTCACTCTGGCTGCCAAGATGAGCAAAAAAGTCCGAAATAATATTTATATGGAAAACAAAACAAACTCCAGTGATTTCTCTTATTCATCATTCAAAAGTAAATGGGTTGTGTTAATTTACCTCAAGTTCGAATATAAACCATGTCTTTAAGAAGTCTCTTTAAACTTGAACTTCTTTTTTAGAAGTTCAGGGCAATGCATAAAAAAATATCTTGCAAAAGCCAGAGGAAAATGTCAACTCTGAGTGGGACACAGGCAGCACCACTTTGTGGCTCCAACTCCTGCCCTGTGTTGGTCAGTAGAAGGGCTGCTTATTGACAGCTTTGTCTCAAAGACTTCATCCAAACCCTGACGTAAGCCGGTTCAGGTCGAGTCTTTCTTTCTTTCAGTGGTTGTGGCTGTGACTATACTTTGCTTGTATTACTCAGGAGCCATGGTTAGGTGGGTGCTGGAGGTCCTGCCCTGAGAAGATGGGGTGTAGCAGCGGGTGAAGTTGGAGAGCTGCTGCTGCAGCAGCCTGTGAGGGGCGGGATGAAAAAAGTGTGGGGTAGAGTCCATGTGGTACATGGTGGAGAGCTAAGGGGCCGTGGTGAAGTGCAGATGCTGGGATAATGTGTATGGGCTGACCGGAGAGGAAGGCGGTGTGGTGGGCAGGAATCAGTCCTGCGTGTCCCAGTGAGTGTCCCAGTGTGTGTCCCAGAGAGTGTCCCAGTGTGTGTCCCAGAGAGTGTCCCAGAGAGTGTCCCAGAGAGTGACTGAGGGAGTGGCCCAGAGGAGACAGGGAGATGGGGGTGAGGTGATGCTGGGGAATGTGGTGTACCTGGGCTAACTGGGCATGTGCAGGGTGAGGGTGGTGGGCATGTGCAGGGTGTTGGTGGATGCCCATGGCTGCCGCTGCAGCTGCGTGGTGCTGTAGGATGGCGTGCTGCACTGTGGTGATTGATGTGCCAGAGGCCATGGACATAGTGGGCTGCTGGATGTGGATCTGCTGCATGGTGGGGGGAGGTGGGGGCTGGGCCAGGCTGGCAGCGGCGGCAGCAGCTGAGGGAAAAGACTTCACCTGCTTGGCCATCAACTGCTGCTGGATGTGCTGCTGAGCAGCCTGCTGCAGCTTGCCGTATTTCTCCATCTCCTCTGGTGTGAACGTGATGGGCTGACTCTCTAAAGGAGCCAGGCCGTCTTCCTCCGCCTCCATGCACTCCTCCTCTAGGCTGGGTGGGGGGTAAGCAGGGTAGGCATGCATCTGATGCTGCTGATGCTGCATTTCTGGCATGAGGGACTCCATCATGGGGTTCTGAGAAGGGTCCTGTCCAGATTCTGCTTGGTACTGGGCCATCGCCATGGAAGACTCATCGGGTTCGAACAGTGGCAGGGGTTCTTGGTGAACAGGAGCTTCTATAGCGGGATGCTGTGTCTCCTCTTGCACAACTGTGATCTGTGGGGCCTCCTCGACCTTCTGCACCGGGGGAGCTGGCGGTGGGGGGGGAGGGGGGAACTCCCGTATAGGCTCTACCAGGATAACTTCTGGCTCAACACACTTTCCAGCTCCTGATTTCTCAACCTCCATAGGTCTGGTGAAGGGAAACAGGGGTTTCTTTCCGGCCTGCAGCTTACCAAAGAGCGGCAGCATGGATTTGCTTCCCAGGGTCGGGGGTAGTTTGGGTCCAAAGTATCCCTGTGGTGGATCTTTAATCTTATTCCCAGATTTTGTTCCTGTGGCAGAATCATCAGAGCTCCTTTTGGACTGAACCTTCTCCAGCAGCTGGCGTGCAGTAAGGCTGTTTTTCTGTTCTCCTGCATCCCGGGACCCCCCTTGCCTCAGAGACTGTGAGCTGGATGAATGGGTGTTGCGGTTAAGGCCTCGTGAGGAAGATGAACGCGGAGACTGGGAGCGGTAGATGCACGAGCGGTTGAAGTCTCTGCGTTGTGCGTCGGTTTCCACTCGAGCCCTGGGAGCGCGTCGGCGAGAAGAGCCCTTGGTGGAGCTGGAGGAGCGGCTGGCTGAGCTGTGGCTTCGGCTGTAGCTGCGCCTCCAGGACCTCGGGCTGGTGCTGCGGCTCCAGCTGCTGGAGCTTCTCGAGCTGCTGCGATGGTGCCGCCGGTGCCTCTTCCTGCGGCTGTGACTGCGTGAACGTGATCGGGATTCTTCTGAGGAGGAAGAGGAGGAACGATGTCTCCTGGATCGTCTACGTCCTCGGCTTCCTCTTCGCTCGTACTCAGAGTCTGAGGAGCGTTTGGAGTGCCTCCGTCTGCGGCCCTCTTTGCTGTAGTTGCTGTAGCTGGAGTTGCTGCGGCTGCGACGGCTGTAGGCGCTGCTGCCTGCCGAGGAGCGCTCGGAGCTGCTGGAGTACGAGTGGCTACGGGAGGTTTGGCCATGATGGCGCCGGCGGCTGCTGCCCCGTCTCTCCCCCCGCCTCGAAGAGCGGCTGCAGGACCGCCTTGATTCCTCGCTGTGGTGACGCCGTTGTTCCCGAGGACTTGACCTGTGATGCCGTGAGCGCTTGGTATTAGAGCCCCCTTCTCCTTCACTCCCGCTGCTGGGAGGTCGACCGGGACCGGGATTCTTTTGGGCCGAGGAGGAGCAGGAGGCACTCTGAGATTTTTCACTGGAGTCGGTCTTTTGTCGTTTTGCACCACTGTGCTCCTCTGAGGAGTTGACTTTGTCGTTGCCTTTTCCAGCTCCTCCTTCCTCTGCTCCAGACTTACAAGGCACTTCCTTATTAGCACGTTTCCTCTTCCCTGTTTCTACTCCTGTGTTTCCTGTAGCTTCTCCACTTCCAGTTGTCAGCTGAACAGACGAGGCCACGGTTTTATCTTCTGACTTTGGTTTGGCTTTTTCCTTTTCATCAACAGCTGCCTCATCTGGATTGGGATCCTTGTTTTTGTTCTTCTTCCGTTTGTGTTTTTTCTTCTTTTTGGGCTTCTCTTGCGTTGCCTCGGTCTCGCCCTCCGCATCTTCTTTGGCTCCCTTCCCATCTTTTCCAGTCTTGCGTTTTGAGTGCTTTGCAGACTTCTTGTGCTTCTTCTTTTTCTTTTTTTTCTTGGCACTAGTGCTTCCAGTTTGAAGCTTTTGCTCCTCACTTTCTACTTGCTCAAGCTCTCCTTTTTTTGTTGGCTTGTCATTGTCCGTGCTGGTCCCAGGTTTAGTATTTGCATCTACAGTTGTTGTTGTTGAAGCCGCCATCTCTTGGCCCTTGTCATTAGACGCTTCACAAGGCTTTGGAGACTTTGTTGCTTTCCCAGCACGCACTCCTTTGTTGCGGGACAGCTTGAAGTCAAAGTAGAGGGGATTGCAGCTGTAGGACAGGGAGGGCTGAGATTTGGTGAACTCGAGGAGCTCAGAGGGCCACTGCAGGGTAGTGCTCTCATCTTTGCTCAGAACTGGGAAGAAGGGACCCGTGGGGATCTTAGGACCCGAGTTGGAATCCTTTCTATCCTGTGTGCTCTCCGCCTTCTGAACAGGGGAAGTGGGTAATGAGACTGGATCTGCTGCGGGGGAAGAGACATCCTCCGTCTTTGCTTTAGGCGACGGAGGAGTCGGCTCTGGGTCAGGGGATGGAGTCACATTATCTAGTTCTTTCTCAGGTTTGCATTCCTCTGTAGCGTCGGGCTCCGTCTCTTTAGTCGTTTCTTCAACCTTCTTCCTCTCCTCCTGCCCCTCTTCCTCTTCGTCGTCTGCTTTGATCAGACACTGATCAGTGGCCTTCATAAACAGCAGAAACTGGAAGTGAGGCTTCACCCGGCAGTGAACAGGAGGTATATAGTGATAGTACTCCGGCTCCTGTCCTGCATATCCTTCCTCTTTTTTCATCATCATCTTTAATTTGTTGAGAGTGGAGGCTAGAGAGGCTCCGTCATCAGGCTGCTCCACCTCTTCTGCCACTGCCACACTAACGCTCTCTCCTGCTTCACTTCCTCCTTCACCTTCTCCTTCACCTTCCTTAGGGCTGTCCGAGCTGCTGCCAGAAACCTCCTCTTGCCCTCCAGCCTTTTCTCCATCCTGTGACTCTTCTTCCTCCATAGCCTCCTCGCCATGATCAGTAAACACTGCGGCGGCTGTTTCCAGCTTTACGGGGGCTTTCTTGGCAAAAGAAAAGGACACACTAACTTTGGATGCCCCACTAGGGGTCGGGGATGAGGAGTTGTTCCTCCCCAGAGAGAAGCTGATGGTTGGAGCTGGTTTCGGGGAGGCTTCCTCAATTTTCTCTTCAAGGGGTGCTTCCGGGACACAGTCTGTCAAATCAGTGTTTTCAGGCATTATGTCGCCATCTTCTAAAGTCTCTCCATCCACAGCCACTGTGGTAGGTTTGAACATGGGCCCACTTCCTGGAGTGCTGTAACACAAAAGCATGATAACAATGAGCACTGGGATAAATGTTTACAACTGAAGAAATACAAGACGTTACTTCGGTGACAGGTTAACTGGATGGTTGCATGAGTCATCTTTAATGTTTGTCATCACAAAGGGCTTGACAGGGTCCTGGTTGTTTTCAGTATCAGGATACAGTTTGATCAACATATTGACAGTAATAAGAAAGTACTGTCACATTGTACAGATTTCTATTCCTATCTTTTTCGTATTGTATTTTTTCTTTTCTGTATTTATGTTCTTGGCATTTGTAGTACTTCTCCGGTCTTTTCATTTCCTCATAATATATTTATGTTTAGTGAATGCCCAAAACCCCAAGGCAAATTCCTTGCAAGTGAAAACCTTGGCAATAAACTTTATTCTGGTGTCCTTAGGACAAAACGGAACATTCATTTCTATATCTTGTCCTGTGAGATTGAATTGTTAAAATAATAAGAAAACTATGACTGTGGTCTTTGTTAGCAAGTTTCATGATGATCCTTCAAAGCATGCACCTGTGTGACCACTACAGATATATTTTGAAATCAAGCCAGCAGAGGGCACTCAAGGAATAAGCTCTTACCGGTCCTGTTGTTTCCTCTGCTCAGCCAACTCGTGCAATCTGCGCAGCATCTTTTCTTGCTTTTTTCCACCTTTCCGGGAGCGAGATGACACATTACGAGCAAACTCTCTCTGTTTGAGCTCTTTAAGCCTCTGCATTAGACGAAACGGGGAGAAACGAAAACACATCAGGAACTTTTCTCTCACAAAAAAACAACAAGATATTCTGACGCAAAAAAGATCTTCATTAAGCACCCAAGAATTGATCCTCTGACATACCTGCTTGTGAGCGTGGTCGTAAGAGTTGATGTGGTTGTCAAACTCCTGGTGTTTGGTGTACTGTTTTTCACATAGCTCACAGTAGAAATTGGCTCTCAGGTCTTCCAAAGCCTTTGCAATGGCTTTCTCCTTTTCCACCTGGTCCTATTGTTGATGGGAAAAACAGAAAGGAATGAGTGAGTGTTTTTGAAAAGCAGAACATTAGACTCAATTACAGTAATTAGAGTACTTGGTCTCCCGTTTCTTTCCATTTGAGATGTACTACAGCAGCCCTAGTAGAATCAACACTGATGAGAATGGCACCAGCTCACCTTGTATTTTTGCCGTAGTTCTTCTGTGTCTTCCTTCTCAACTTCGAGCACTCTTCTCTTCTCTGTGGCGTCCTCTGCATAGTCCAGCTAAAAAGGCATAGACAGCAGTTACAGCACGTGCAGACAACACAGTAGTTTAAACTGTGTGAACAAGCAGTTATGCTGCAGGCCCATACGAGCTCTGATGGTCACTTTGTTTGACTTCTGTTTTCTTCCACTTGTTTCTGATGGTGACAGAATGTTCAACTGAAATGTAACTTAGTCATCCCTTTTTGCAGGTGGCTGTATAAATCCTCTTTGTATTCAAAAATTGCAAAACATGAAACCAAAACATCCGAAGTATACATTTCTCTTTAGTTTTCTTCTCAAAGGTGAACACAGGACAGGACTTATGATTTACAAGGCAGTTATGCATAATGTAGCAAACATAAATATTAAAAAAAAGCATAAATCCTCCTGAAGGCAAAGGAATGATATTCAGCGAAAATTGTGAAGGTCAAATGCAATTTACGACAGGAACTGAAAACCCTGGAACATTGTGCAGCCAGCAGATTCAGCAGAACATCTTCATGTGTATTTAGTCAGACAGTGTTACTGTATCATAATGTATGGTGACATTTGGTTTAAGATGCCATGACAGCTCAACTAAGAACGGGTCTTGTCCAATATGAAAACAATCAGAGATGTCAAAACATCACACTGTCAGTATAGAGTCAATTGTGCATTTGAAAACTGAAGCTTTTATGTCAAAAACATATAAACAAGTGATTGGGACAAAAAAAAAAAACGGAATCTCACCTCCATCTCCATGCGTCCCATCCCCATGACATCATATTTGAGGGTGATGGGCACAGGGTCGGTGCGTCCTGAGGGAAAAGAGACAGAGAGAGGACGAGGTGAGTTTTTGAGACTGGGACATGGGGCCAGCTCGAAAAACAGCCTGCTTTCATAGCATAGGGGGCTGGGGTTAGAGAATTTGCCTTGAAGTGCAAAGAGACCAGAAAGCTACAGTGAACCAAACACCAGCCATTCTCACAGCTTACTGCAGCCACCGAGTATAAAACACTTTATCTTACTTTCCTTACATTTGACATGGCTGCTGGTTTGCATTTTGAATGAGTCAAATTAGCTGCAAATGTGGTGTTAGATGAGGTCGAGGGCAACAGGGCTGTTTAGCAATATGTCCTACAAAAGAAAGTAACTGGAAACAAGACTGTCCGTTTAGATCTGTTGGCATTTATTTTCAGTGTAGTCGTACAACCCACCGCCCCTCCTCCACCCATTCATTGCTGCAGTCCTGTTAAACCAGAATGCCAAGTTTATCAAGGACACTACAGCTTGAGAGTGTGTTTGTGTGGTACGTTAGATTGTGTGTGTGTGTGTGTGTGAAGGGAATTGCAACAGGCCTGCGCAGCTGCTGCGACATCACCATGAGAGGAACAAAGCCACCTAATATTATCTGAGGCCTAATGCATTGTCTCTTTCTGGACGGTCCGCAGGCCTGCTGACCCTTCCACTGTCCTCGGGTTCAAATGTGTTCCCTGGCCCCCTTCCTCATCATGACTTAGAGCTGAGAAATGTATTTTTCCCTGTCTACTTCAGCTATGTTACGTAAGCTGTGAAAAGAGCTAGATTAGAAAGAAATTAACTGTAGAAAAATAAACAAACCAAAGACAACCAAAAAAAAAAAAATGAAAACATTACAGATATAAAATATATAAAAATCAAAACTACTCTGGAGATTGACACAGAATTGCTTAATCCACTCATAATCAGCCAAACAAAGCAGAGAGAAAGACAGAATAAAAATTAAAAAAGGACACAAGCACTGAACTACAGCAGAGTGACGTCACAGGCCAGGTATCGCCATGGTGACAGTGCAAGGGATGGGGATACTTACCTGGTAAAACATGGGTATGGGGAGGGGGGGTAAGGGGAGGACAGACAGACAGATAGACAGGGGAATCTCAAAACAAAAAGGCAAAAAAAGAATTTGGACTAGTTCTGCTGCTTCTGTTGCCAGCCAGATACAACAATCAGTTGTTACTGATAGTGATTATCAATTCGGTTTGGTTTCAGTTTTTTCCTCCCACATTTTCAAGTTAGTTTTTTTTCATGAATCAATGTTTTATATATACCATTGGGCATATGGAATGTATAATCAAAATTTATCTTGTGAAATACCGGTCACAAGTATTGTTTAAGTTTCTTACAAAATTGAGTTTAAATTCTTGAGTTGAACGTGTTGTTTTCTATAAGACAGAAAAACTGAAGGCTAACACCATACATGTTTAATTTTCTGGCCAAAGTTATACTTTGAGCCAAAGAGTTACTTAATAAGCATTTGAAAGCTTTAAGCTTCCCTTAAACTCTGAATTAATGCATTTCAATTGGAGAGAAAATGACTTCCTGGACACATTTTGATGTTAATATCCGGTTCATTACTGTATTGTTTTTATAATGTTGTCATCACAGCCCAATGACATATTCATTCTGAAATCATAGATGCATGGGCATTGTAACATAGAATGGCCTGCCTGGACTCTCAGTCCCACTGCAGTGTCTGTCATATGAGTGGGCCTTTAGCTAAAAGGCTATAATGACTGCATAATTGCGGAGGTTTTATTCCCCTGAAGTAGTAAGAGGACTGACTGTATGCTATGTCGAGCACAAGACTATCAAATGATAGGCGTGTGTTCACACTCTTTACCCAACAGCAGAAAAGTGAAACCAAGACAAGGGATTGGTCTGTTTTTCAGCCACTGCAGTGGTTATTCTGAATGAAGTCACAAGCTAGGCCCAGAATTAAAGATTAATGAACAATTACAGTCATCCCAAACTATCACCAATCTTTAAACACAGTGACAATACTTCCACGTTACCCATTCCAGTGGAAAAGAAAGGGACCAGACAAAAACAATGTGCATCTAAATCACAGGGTGTGAATCACAGGGTTTCAAAAAAAAACTGAAAACAAACAAAATGACAATGCTCTAAGAGTAATACATATGCATGATAATATACAAGCAGCAGAATGAGGACTAATACAGAGAGAATTGAAAGCCTATGTAGCATTGGTGCTCTGATGAGAGGAAAACAAAAAAAATGGGAGAAATAAAAACAAAAATAAAGAAAATTCAATTGGGGGATAAAATAACATTTACCACTAAGTTTACCATCAGCACAACATGGGCAGGATCAAATCGCTGTAAAAAAGAAACACCAATTGGTTAAGCAGGAAGATTGAGGCACACAGAGAAGGGAGGGTGGGGTTTGGAGTGTGTCTTTGGGGTTTATTACCAGAGGGGGTTTAGTGTGTCACCCCCCCACCCCCCTCTTCCCTTCACTCATGGCCAGGTGCTTACAGGGATTTCCTCTCACCACTCTCTCCCAACCACTGGTCCCAGTCCCCGGGCCCCTAGCCTGGCATCGCCTCACTCTCTAAACCACAATATGCCCCCAAGGTACCAAACTACCCCCCCCTTACAAATTCTGCCCCAAGTCCTGTATCCCTCCATTACTGAAAACCTTCACTTTTAACCTTTACAGAGAAGAAAAATGAGAAACCCAGTCATATAGGTGGTTTTAGAGGAGCTACAATGGGTAAGGGAGTGATTAAAAAACCTACAACTCAATATTAACTGATAGGTAAAAGCTAAAAGGCAAGAGTTGTGAATCAAAACTAATCTACTGTGGAGAGTCTGGTAGGCCTGTCACGATAGTTACATTAGATTGGACAATATACTGCATCATATTGCGATAAATTACATTATTGACATTTTTAAAGACTATTTTTATGCCACAGATTTGATAAAAATAATGGCATAATAATGCAAGTAAAATATTTTAAACAGCAACAGACTTTAACTCCTTAAGTATATTAATATATTGGATTGGAATGTGATAGAAATAGAAAAAATAAATAGAGCATACTCTCTGGCTCTGATAACATAACTGTGCAATGCAGGTCTGATAATGCAATGGAAACCTCACTGTTTATTCTGGCATGCTGTTCGTGACATTCTTATCTTTACAAACACTTGTGCAACAGGCAATATCAAGGTCCGTTAGAACCTTTGTGGTCATGTCCAAATATCGTACGATAAAATCAATAGTAATTATTGTGACAGGCCTAGCCTCTGTTGCCAGTCTTTATGTTTCATTTTGTTTTATCATGGGGACAACTATCTAGTCTGAGACGATTGATGCCTTTAGGGACGACCACCATTTTCCCCCTTTAAGCGTTTTTTGCAAGGCAGATGCTTGTCAGCCCAGTCATAGCAAATCTCCCTGAGAATCTTTCATTTCCTTACTAGCCTACAGCCAGCGAGATTGTTTTGGGGCGTGCTTTACCCTAGAACAAGTGAACACATGACATACATAAAAATGTACCTGAGCAAAGAGCCAGCAAGGCTTTGAGCAGTGCTTAGAGCGTGGTCTGTGTTGCTATCTAGCAGCAGTTTTCCCAAAGTATCCTACAAATGTGTTACATTTCACTCTATCCTGTTAAAGTAGTAGCTCAGTACCTCCAACACTGCTTAAAGCCCCAGGTGAGTGTGACGGTTTGAGGCAGGCAGGAGTGCACCGCTAGGACAAACATGCTGTGCAGGAGGGGCAAAGAAACGGGGGGAGGACGGGAGTGTTTTACCATGGGGACAGAGACATTTGGGGTGTAGAAAGGTGGTGAGATTTTCCCTGTAAGTTGACTCTATGGCCCGGTCAGTAACAGACGCACACACACACACATCTCAGTCCCACATGATGACCACGCACATACACACAAGCTTCACAGGTTTTGAGGTAGAAACAGGCAAACAAGCAGAAGGGGGAAAACATGTCTACTCTGCAAGCCATTCAAAGTCTGAGCCGTGGTTACAGCCAATCAGATACCCGACAGCAGCAACGGAAACTCAAAGAGGAAAAAAAAAATCTAACGTACGTGGAGATGATGATTCTAAGGGATGTGATGGAATCATAGCTTCCTAAATCTACCTTGATTTGAAATGGATTGTTGTTCTTTGTTCAAATCGAAGCACTTTACTCATTGTGCAGATTGAAATAAAGGTTTAGTGATTATGAAGCAAAGAGGAGGAAGCTGACAGAGGCCATTAGCCTACGGTACACTGTCAAAGGGGTGTTACATTGAGGTCAACTGCAGAGTGGGAGAAAGAAAACACACCCACACACACATACTGACATACAGAGGGGATCCAACAAACCTTACCTAAAAAGGGGCAAAAAGGACAAAAGAAGAATAAGAACAAAGTCAATACAGTGAAAAACTTAAAAAGGGGACACAATGCTTTCACTTCAAAATTCAAAAACCTTCTCTTCTTGCAGGGAGGACAGGATAGGAAAGGAAGATAATAATGATTATCCAGCAAACTTCAATGTGATGCAAGGGCGTTTTTGTGTTGTGTGACACTACAAGTGCATTTAGCAAATTTGAACAGAGATAGTAGGCTCCTTCATGGGCCATTAATTCCTACAAAACAACTGGACACACTTTGCCGCAGTCTCATCTGCCCACAAAGCAGGATGCTTACATAACCACACATCAGAGGTGCCAGCGGCAAACACAAGAGCAAAGTCAGCCCCTGCTACTTGTTCTCTTCTCCACAAAGCACACATTCTTATCACATCAAATCAATTGCTATTCAGCTGTTCAAGGCCAGATGGAAATGCATGCACACCAAAATGCTAAGCTCAGAAATGACTGCTGCGTCGTTACTCTGCAATCACTTGTCAGCCTGCCCAGAATGAAGCAGCTTTCTGGTCTACTCTGGTCCCTGGCCTTCGTCAGGCCGAGAATACCTATGAGACGACACAGGGATCCACGGCCATATATGTGCATGAACAAGAGGTGCCAGGGTGGCCTCAACGCAGCTCAACAGCCAGTCATCAGCTCTGCATGTCTCTGAAGGCTCACCAATAAACACAATCAAAATGTAATATCTAAATGTCAGATTGCAATATATCATGACACTTCAATCCGACACAGTTGCGCACCACAGCCGGTATCTGCAAAAGCAAGGACATCTATAGGCAGGGTAAACCCCTGTTTTCTAAACACCTGATACAAATGCATATTTTCATCAAGATAAATAAGTCACAAGTTCTCAAAGACACAAGTCTTCTGTGTCTGTTGTATTACAAAACCAGAGACAACTGAAAATCTCATCACCTGAACCACAAGCACGAGGAAGGCATGGACTTTTCATAATCTGATTATGCTGAATACAAATTAAATTAAGCAGCACAATTCTGAACGCAGATACCTTCTGTCTTTTGTTTTGCATTGTGAAGTCAAGCAACTTGCTTACGTAGCTCACTCGGCATTGGCCCCCTATAGTTATTCATGTGCCTAGAGAAGTTGTGTTTCTCATTACAATTCTGATATTGAGCATGTTACTGCTGGGTTTAAAAGGGAAATAAATGCTCTTAAGCAAATAAGTAGAAGAAAATGACTGCATGAGAGTTATAGAAATAAAAGCTCTGGTGTTAAAATGGTGTGGGTTGACAGGATAGAAAAGAACACGATTGAGGAGGTAGACAAAACTAAATGCCAGATATTATGCAGAAAAACAAGCTTGGTTCTTAGCTAACTGCCAGGACCCATTCGCTTGCCAGTGATGTCATCACTCATAGCCAATGCTATACGTCATCCTCTTTGGAGAAAGTGCATGGAAGGGTGCGGCTCTGAAGAGGGAGTTAGGAAGTTCGAACTAAAAGAGAGAATAAAGAAAGTGATGAGGAGAGAAAGAGGCTGATGAGACAGGAAGAGGCTCGGTGGAAACATGCCAGGGCTCTGCACCACTGCCTCTGAGCCAATGAGCCGACGAGCAGAGCAGGGTCGAGCTAATGATGTGCTGACGTTAGCCAAGACCAACCCACACACTCAGCTCTGTTCAGCCTGCTCCCTCTTACAGCAAGTCAATATCAACTGGGACATCCAATTACAGATGTCTCCTGAAAGTAAACCTCTCTAATGCAGCTTTCTTGTTGAAGGCTTTCTACACGAGTTAATTCAATGGGAAGAGCTTACAGAGCATTTTTACAGTACCGCTTTTACTTCCCTCAGAAGAGACCGCAATTCTCGATCTTAAAAAATGAAACGGATGGTGTACACATGATGTTAATCAGTTTAAGTAAATAATATACTAACTATAGAGTAGGGTTGAAACGGTTATCTGGTTCACAATAAACCATGCTAAAATTGATGATGATGATGATGATTGGTATCACTATTTCTTTTTTAAATCATTAAAACAGACTGTCCAGCATCAACCAAAGTTAACAACAGTCTCCCTAAGCAGGCAGAGCATGCAACGTGGGTCTGTTTTGCATCAATGTTAACATGGTGGAAGGCAGTCAGAGCTCTGGAGGTTTTTCCTTTTTCGAAATGTACATTGGTTCTGGACTGGGTCCAATGGCATTGTCACGGCGGCCTGTTCTTAAATTGCATTTACAACTAGGCCAGAAAAAGCCCTTAAAAAAAAAAATGGTGTGCTATGCATTCCTGCAAGTTGACAGCTCTGTTGGCTAGAGTTCTGGCTACCCCGTTTACCATTTTAGTGTTTCCAAGTCAACCATGTGCTCTTCGTTATAATGCAGCTGCATCCCAGCCCCAATGTTTCGGAAGAGGTACATTTTTTTCCGGCAATGTAAGTTGAGAAGAGGATGTATGTTTTTGACCAGGGGCTAAGAGTAAGATCTGGAGATGATACAAGACTTGTGTGCTAGCACATCTGCAATACATCAATCCATAACCACTTTTTCTCAAAGTTAGTTGGCTAAAACAACTGAATGTGAACAAGGCTGTCTTCAATTATACTGTGATTTTGAAGGAGGACCAAAAGCTCGCTTTAATCTGTATTGCATAATTGAAAGACAAATAAACACTCCACTCCTATCCCTCAACCCACTATGGTCCCTGCCCTTGGTGTAACTCCTTTACAAGGCCTCTGAAACATTCCCCTCCCTCTTCCATTCCAGGGAACAGCAGCGAGAGAGCGACAGGAACTGGAATGAGGTTTGTTTGAATACAAATTGATTTTAGCTAGCAACAGACACAAAGGAAAAGACCAGAGAAAGAAACGGAAAAGAAACATTTGCTGATACATCAAAACCTAGAAATGTGAGGGCAAAGAAAATGACAAAAGGGTTGGTGGCTCAGTACCACCAGCATACATTGCAAACAGATGTTCAGAAGAGTTTGTCCTTACCCTGCATGCTTTTGCCAAGACCTTGCCCCGACTTCCAGCCATGTTTCTGAAGCAGCCGGTGCCCAATGTTATCCTAGCAGAGAGAACAGAGGAGAAAAAAACCAAAAATATTCCAATAATAAGAGGAGCTTTTCCCTGTTGGGTTTTCATCAAAAACAAACAAACAAAAACAAAAAATAAAAAGACACTCAGATCACACTATCGTCATCAGCACAACCACCACCATCACCATTATCATTATTGTCATCCACATCACCTACAGCGTGTATTATCAGTGTCTTCCAGCACAAGGAGTGGTAAGGACGGTTAGGGTGGGGGGGTAGATGGTTGGAGACTGAGAGGAAGGGTAGCTTGTCCACTATGAACACTACATGAGGCTATGTGTAGCTTGTAAACTACAGGACACCCTCCTACAGAGTGCTGTTTTGTAAGGCAAAGTAATTTGGCATGAGCATTTCTTTATCTTTCATTTTGGATGATAAAGATAACATTGAGTCACATCCACTAACTGAGAAGTTAAGGAGTGGTAGGAAGGAGGGAGGCCATATATGTATCACACACGCATACATATATGAACCACTACAGAGCAAGATCTTAGTACACAAAGAAAAGTGACACAGAACAGGTATGGAAATCTTGCATTAACAAAACAAAGATCAGAAACTCCAAGCTTGCTGTGATTCCGTAACCATGACAAGGAGAGCACCATGAAAACATATGCAGCTGTCACAAAAACTATAGCAAGAGGAAGAGACAGAAGTGGGGCTAATGGGCCTTGGATTACCATTACAAGGCCCAGGGTGGACAGAATATGCACGTGTGAGGGGATATGTGGGTGTGCAGGTGAAGAGAGGGAGACATTGTGTGCACGTAGCCCCGTTGGATTCACTAGAAATAGCTGTTGTGAATGATTTGGACACCTCCAGTATTTTTCGTCTTTTATCAATGGTCTGATCTAAACCATATGCACAATTATTTTAAACCATTATTAGACACAACTGTGTGCTGTTAGCTTGCCTCTTATTTAAATCCTCTCATAAACCATTTTTTCAAATGAAGTCCAGGCAATGTCGAGAAAATCTGGTCTGTACTTTGTCAAGTGTTTTCATTTTAAGACTGAGCACACAACAGGAGTTTGTCAGAAGCATTATCTCTTTCTGGAAAAGTATGTTTTATAAGAGGGGTGGCGCCTGGCTAGAGCACAAAAGAGGCTCATCATTTGGTCATAAACAATGCAAAACTCTTGCAGCTCCTTTCATTTGTCGGACGCTTTCAGAGGCCACCCATACCTACTTAAGTACCTGAATCTTTTTGTCTCTGCAGTTGGATATTTTTGTTTAAATGACTCATCAATTTTACCTGTGGGTAGTTTTTTCCCGGCTTTACAACAGCTGCGAAATAAATGTCATCACGCTGACTCAGCAAATTCTCAAGAAAATTAGCAGATCTATTCCTACATGGGCTCAATCGAATATTTTAATTTAGGGAGCTGGCAGGGTAGAGGCCATTTTATTTCTGTTATAATTTATAACTAAATATTAATTTGGGGGTTTTATTTGAATACTTTAGGAAAGTATACAGACAATGTACATGTGGGCAAGATCAGACCCATTATATTGAATCAAAGAGGCAAGAGAAAAGTGCGAGAACACACACAACAGCAATTCCTAGTATACTCAGGGGGGCAATTGCACATGTCTTGAGAGCGTTATATCACTAGTATGGGTCAGCAAGAAAAACAAAAACATTAAGTGAAATGCAAGATCATCCCACCACTACACACTACAGTACATCCTCAAGCACAAATAAACAGGAAACAATGAGATTTCTTAATAAGCAGTGTTTTCTGTTGTGATTATAACTATTCCAAGCTTTGCTAACATTCACCAGAGTGCTGCATTCTACCAAAAAAACATACAAACCAAACATAAAGGATATTTATAATCACAAAGAGATTGACATCAACTTTCACAAACAGAAAGTGAAGGGGTTGGAACAAAACAGCATGCAGCTTTTTGTTAAATTATTTTTAACAAAAAGTATCGTCGGTGTTAGTAGCGTGAATGGTACACATACAGAGGGGTGGAGCGGGCTGGGGTGGAGGGCGGGTAACAAAACTCCAACTATGTTAGTTTCAGGTGGATCAGGCACAGAGAGGAAGGTGATGGCTCAACAGGGCTCAATTAGTTCTCTTTGACAAAGAGGAGGTGGGGACAGAACAGAGCAGGCTGAGCCATGGTGGAGGTGAGTTTCTGGGGTGTTGGAGGTGAGCTGAGCTTGAATGGGTTAGTGCATGTGAAGGGGAGTGGGAGTCACACACACACAGCACACACTGCATCTCCGCCCAAAGGGTCTCATTTATGGTAAATTTGGCATAATCATGTTCAAACCCTGTTGGCGTTTAGGAGCAAACTGATGCCTTCTTTTGCCCTATTTATTATTTCTGAGAGAAAAAAAACGATAGGTCAGTGTTTAGAACTGTGAAATCCCAGATATCTGGAATAAATCTATCCAAAACAACTGGCTGATGTTTTCCTCCCAAGAGAGAAGCTTAACTGCCTCACTTCCTGTTTCTGTTGGGTTTGGTATTTTTTCCCCCCACTATTTCATGGATCTATGAGATGTGTTTACTCTGTGTGACATTCAGATCCCTTTCCGCTGCGGGGTGAGATAGGAGGGAATCTGTGCTGGGTCTCACATGGTGGGAAGGGAACTGAGGACACCTGCTTGTTTCAAATCATAACTGGGACATTAAATCCTACATTTGACATGCTTTCACTGTACATTGCCTGGCAGTTCCTTGGCATGTCACCACCAAAGATAGGCTGCATGGCTAATAGTTTGTTGCCTCCTGCATGGTGGACAACATGTCCCCTGACTTCATTATGTAGGAAACACAGCAGAATTTGCTGCAGTGGATGCCTCCCCTCCCACCGACATTGGGTATGCTTCTGTCTCTTACTGCAGTATTATGGTGCACCACTCTACACATGATTATCTATATTGATTTGGGGAATACGCTGATCTATGAGGTTTCAGCAAGAAGGAAAATGAGATGCACCCTATACTAGCTGCTCCTGTCTCGTGTTTACACAATCCCCGTTTGCGGATTTGTTTATTTTTGATCTCGAAAGCCAGAGAAGTCTGACCAAGGGCCTTATAATTAAATGTTCTGAAAGCTCAGAGAACATAAGCCCTACCTTAAATTAAATGTGTTTTCTCATAGAAAGCTTATTTTTTTTTTATCTCTGCAAGATTAGAAACAAAATATTATTAAAAACAAGAAGGGCAAGTTGGATAAGGCATCAGTCGCAACTGCTGACACTAATAAAAAGATTAGTTCAAAATGGGCTCAGCAAACTAAGAGGGCGGAGATGAGGCGCTCACTGCGTGTCTGAACAACAGATGAGTGCACCAAAAGAATAGACAGACAGACGGATGAAAGCAACGACGGCGAGTCCAACAGCAGTGCAAGTGGAGTGAAGGCATTTCCATACGAACCTGGCTTTAAAATACTGGGCTGTCAAAAAAACAGTCACACGTGACACAACGTAAGAAACCGGCCAAACGCTTTCAACTGCAATTCTGCTAGCTTCTCTAAGTTCTTACATATGCAAATCTTTCTCTCTGCTCTTAAACAAACATAATACTGTATACAAACAGAAAGGGCATGTCAATAAATCCACCAACTGACTGTTAATACAGGAGAAAGAAAAAATTGAAAATGTTATCCAAACAAAAGAGATCTAAAAGGAGAGGTGTTTTTAAAACTGTGCATTGTGCCGTCATCGGCACAGTGCATGGAAAAAGATATGGAAGGGAAGTGATATGCAGGGGACCCCACCTAGAGACCTCAGAGTATCTAGGAATCTTATTGCTCAATCGAAGCAGTCATTGATATGTCTACAGTACTGGAGCGTGTCTCGATATTAGAAAATGCTCTGGTTCCAGAGAAAGATGTAACACTGGACATGCATATTAATCTATGCAAGTGACTCAACTAAATCAACTCAAACTACATATTTTATATCATTTTGGGGGATTATTGCTCACAAAAACAGATTTGAGAGCTTGTATGTTCTGATGAGTAAACACGGACCCTTTAGGGTTCTGTCTTGCAGAAAAAGGGGGGCTGCTGCAGTTACTCATCCTCCTCTCTCGTGTCCTTGAGGAATGTGTTTTTGGAAGTGCTGGTGGAGGACAGGGCCTGCTGACTGCTGCTCCTCATAAACTTTTGCTGCTCCCTTGTGTATTCCTAGTTGGTCTCCACTTTTGCAGGTGTGACTAAATGGAAACAACTGTCTCAGTGCATCAAGAGTCAAATTGCTTTAACAGACGGCTCCTTTTTCCCAGCAAATGGAGGTGAAGTGTGGAAGTGTCAGAGTGACCGTGAGGGGATAACAGATTTCATGAATTAAGTGATTGGGAAAATGACAGAGAACCAGCGTCCGGTTTAAATGGAATCATTTTAAAATACATACTTACCTCATAATTCTGAAAGCCCAATGCATCAACCGGAAATTAAGTTAACACTGAAGCCCACATTTGTAGCGGTCTCCAGTCACTTTAAACAGAGACTGTAAAACTGGCCTTCCCATTCAGTTTGAAGTGGGTTTTTTGGTTAGGTTATTCTTTTTCTCCACACTTACCCCATTGCTGACTTTAAAACAGATTATTTTCAGGGCATTAGCAATGACCTTGAACCCAGCATCACTGATGCTCTCTGGATTAAGGCTGGTGCTTAATAGAAAGCTTGCCATGTTGCAAATAATGTAGGTCACGAGTAGGGCAGGATTCAAATAAAAAAAGGATTGGGGGGTTTTCATTTTCTTATCCAATTGTCATATCTAATACACCATATATTTTAGCATCTGTAGTACAAGTTGAGAAGTAGTAATGAATACATCTTGAATCAAAAAGGTTGAAACAACATTTTTACTAAGAGAAAAACGCATTGTGGTCTGCGTACATGTGATTCTTAGATTTCTGGTGCGTATATGTGGTTTCTGTGGCTCTGAGGCTGCCCGCTGCATATCGCTCTTGGACAGGGTCAGAGAGGGAAGGAGGGGAGGTTGGAGGGACTGAAAGGGGGCAGGGGACGTACGAGGGATGAGTATTGGAGGAAAACTGTAGTAGTGATTAGGACAGAGTGTTGAGATAAAATAGTACTGAATGCTACCAAGTTAACACATGCAATGCAAAAACAATGTTATAGAGAAAGAGCAAAAGACCAAAGGGGAAAGACAGAAAGAGAAAAAAGATCCCAATAAAGTACCACAGACCTCTAGCTGCCTATAGTTCACACACAATAAGTGGCGGGGGAGGGGCTCCGAGAAGCTGGGCCAAAGCATTCACTAACAGATCCCAGATCAGGCCTGTGTACCTGTAACAACACTGTCACATACTCTATGTCAGTCTGTGTTTTACTGTGATGTTTTAGCTATCTATTTAGGTGCACTGTTTAAGGCTGATTAGGGGTAGAATTTGTGGACTATACTGTTTGTACATGTTGCATTTGACAGTCTTATAAACTGTGTAATTTGTATTATTGAAATATAACTGATGTAACGAAACTGTGTCACCAGATCCTTTAAAATAATCCTCAGGGTTAACAAATATTCATAGTTACTTGCTTGTGGTTAAACAGTCTGCCACCATCTCCTTTGAGCATGCACTTTCCAAAGAGAATATGTAAAGGTGTGTATTTCTATTAGTGACGATGTGACAGTTGACATCCCCCACAGTTGTGGCCATGTCTTTTCCACATGTGTGATGCTGCAGCGCTGCCCTCAGCGCCCCTCCACAAATAATAGCGCAGGAGCTAAAGAGTCACTCAAGCCAGGTGAGAAGGCCACCTCTCTCTATTTTTATTTCTCCCCCTCCACCACCCACACACAGTGGGAGGTTTGTGTGCCTGTTAGAAAACAATATAAGTGAAACTCAACCAGGATGTAAAAAGATTCTATGCCAGATTCTGGCACATCTTAAACACAAATATAGGCTACACATTTGATCATACATTAGAAAATTGTGAATAAATTAAGTGTTTTTTTCCCTTTCAAACGGGAGTGTCACAGTGATCAGCCGAATGAAATTTATTCCACTGCTTAAAAACTCCTTACATTTTTATTTTTTTAATTGACGGGAATGTTTAATCTCAACTTTTTTATTTTCTCAGGCAATCCTGTTATATGTCATGATACTCATAATTTACTTGTTTAATTATGTTTCAAATATCTAGTTTACTTATGCTGCAATCTAGCTATGTTAATTGTTTAAATATAGCTTTAATTTAGGAAAAAATAAAATCCCTTTTGTTTGATGATTATAGAAACTGTAGAAAGTGAGCATGCCTGTTAGATTGCTGGTACTATCTGATTGACTTTCAAAGCACATCTCTAAGGTTGAGGAGAGGTCATGGGACACTGTGTAGGTAAGAGGAGTTTGGGCCTGCTCACCAAAGAGCTTCAGTGACAGAGAGGGGATGGGGGGGTGGAGAGAGTGGGAAAGACAGAAAAAAAGAGAGCTGCCTGCGCTATTATCTTTGTGCCTCTTCAGCGAAATAAATGCAGTCCCAGTTGCACAAGCACCATGCCAGCACAGAATGACAGAGGGTACTGTACAACGAATCACTGTGTAGTAGGGAGGGAGCGAGAGAGAAGTAGAGGTAGAGAGAGAATAGATGTAGAGTGCGACAGTAGTGAAACAGAGAGAGAGAAAGACAGTCAGAGAAGCGTTACAAGGACCCTAAAGATAGGAGTAAGAAAGCAGAGCGTGCAAATACAAACCGGGTCATTGCTGCTTAGCTAATAGGGGGCCAATTCGCTGCAGGAGAGAAATGTCGAACACCCCAAGTTGTGTACAATAAGATAACTGTCCTATAGACACAAACACTTACACACAAATTCTAGAGCTACATGGACACACACTCATTCAAACACAGATGTAGCCATTCACACCATCTTATGTGTGCTATTTTGTTTGCTAAATGGAGTGGAATAAGCACTGCCAACTTTTTATTATCGGAAACATTTGAGCCACTGAAAAATAGTCAGATATACAGGTGTAAACACTTCTTAATCTGGCTGTTTTTGAATGCAAAATGGTAACATGTGCCTCGATTCAAGAGGATTGCATTTATGATCTTAACCCTTTGAATACATTTTAAATCCGTGAATCATCAAATCAGAGTTGTTGAAAAGGTAAATCGCCCTCTCAAATGTAAAAAAAACAACATGGCTCAGTACAGAAACCTTGTTTAAAGCAGGTATATGCATAATAAAGTCTTGTCATTACCAATTAAAAATGAATAACAGCTAGGATGATTAGAAAACAGCCATTAATGACAGTGCTTTATCCACCCCATGCTTTCAGTCATCTTATCTCATTGTGCTAAGATGACTAACAATGACTAATGGGAGACTGATACATAAATCAAATGATTATCTGTAAGGTGCACATAAAACAGGAAGATCTAGCATATACATTATCTTTTAACTATCACACAGGAAATGGAATAGGCAGAGGACATGGGAAGTGGGAGGGACTTAAAGGGTATTAATGACCATGAGACAGATGATTCTACAGGTTAGGTGGCAAGTGTGTTTATGAAAACACTGGATGCATCTACATGGGCAGAATGAATGGAGTTTATAGGTGTGGCTTTTATTTCTCCCTGGACCAATCATCCACTCTCACAGCTGGTCCAATGGTGTGGGATGATGGATGCAGCCTTACCGATTCGATGGGCTTGTCCAGGGACGCCTGCTCCAGCTCCAAATGGCCTTCTTCATACTGGTCAAAGTGATTCCCACCCTGAGTGAAAAACATTTAAAAGCTTAATTTAGAAATATCATGTAGACTTGCTTTCTTTCATCATCAGTTAAATCATTGTTTGAGCAAATCCTAAATATTCCAGCCAGTGGTGAGGATTTAACTGCATTAAGTAGTTTTTGGGTTTATCATGCAATCTCTGGCCAAAATAATCACAACATATGCTTCATTAATTGTGTTTACCTCTCAAATAAAAGCAAAGCACACATTCCACAAACAGCATATGGTTTACTGCATATAAAATCATGTTTATGACGTTTATATAGTTTATTAAAAACATAAAAAATAAGAAAATCATTACTCCACTATAAACAATCCCATTTTCCAGTTATTTAAACTTAAAAAAGCCTTTAATTTGAAGTTTGTATTGTTATTTCAGGAAGCAGATTCCTGGTAAATGTATTCCAGGAGTAGCAGCAGTGAAGGATGACTTCCGCCTTAGGCTATTTGTTGTCTGAATTTGAAGCTGGGCTTTACTTACACAAATTGAGCATTTCATTTTAAGTCCATACCCTGGGAGGGACGGAGAGTGAGTAATGGGCTTGCTACCCTGACCAAAAGGGTTATGTTTATAGAGCAGTTTCTGCTCGGAGACAGATGGCTTCCTCTCTTAAGCAGCAGAGGAGAGGCGAAGGTCATGTTTGTGAGTGTGTTTTCTACTGACCTTCAGGCAAAACTGAACAAGTCCAAAAATAGTTTGTGGTACAATATTTACTAGATGCCTGCAGCAACTAGCAAGAGCACAAGTTTGGACAACTAACTAATGCAACTAGACACGATATATACAACATAGGGAGGTTTGATTTCCATTTTTTATATCTATCTGGGAGATGGAACAGGCACTGCAAAAAAATAATTTGCCTTTGTATTATTCAGGACTTCTTCCTTCACTGCTAAAAAAAGTATATGGTTACAGCTGCAGAACTGTGCAGCAAAGACAATGCTAACATGACTGGGCTATGCAAGCAGCTTTACCCCCTACATTCTCTAGGGGGATCTGGGTTTTGCGGAGATAAGCAACTACTCAAATCCACCCACCATAATGAGGTGATTTGATGCCACACTGGCAGCCATTAATTCAGATGAGAGAGGACCTCTCGTCAGCATGAGTGAAGCACGGGATTATGAGAAGGAGATTCAGAGAATAGCAAAGGATTTATTTATGAACAAATCAATGTATCCCTGGCTTCTCTTCCCCAGCCACCTCTCTTCCTCCTGACTTTCTGCTCAGACCACTTAATGTGCTATCAAGCACAACCTCGGCCTGCCACAATGACTTCTTATGTTCTGCTGCTTTTTCATCCCCTGAGTCTGGTAAACAAACACCACGGCAATGCTGCATAGAACTGATCTTCGCTATGTCCTCTGATATTACAAGAGAACATTTCTCTTTGTTTTTAAACGCTGATATGAGCGCTCCATACCACTTAACATTAGCAAATAAGAGAACTAATGCCAGCCAGCAGTGGAGATGCTCATAAATAACCTGGTGTCTTGCAATTCAAGATAAGCTGCATTCTAAAGCTCCAACAAAGATGAAACATAGCTCCATATTGCTAATGGACTTGTTTTGCTTTAGATAGTAGGTAGACCATCAGTGGGAGTTTCCTTCTCCGTGTTGCTTGGCAGCTTGCTTTAGTCCATGGAGTCAAGGAGAAACTTTCTGAATACTGAGCAAATGAATCCTTCACAGCAGATCTCCCACACAGAGCTCCACTGTGCTGAGCCAAAGCTGCCTTCAACAGACTCATTCAGAACACACAACATTTAGCTCTCACTGACAAAAAAGCTGAATACTGAGTTCCCACTCGACAGCATCACAGTGGCTTTAGAGGGAAAAACACTGGCTAATTTCACAAGCAATTATACATGCTTAAACTTGTAATGGCCTGTCTACTAATTCACCATATCATCGCTACAAAAAGTACTCGACTGCTTTTGAAAAAAACAACTACAGCATTTTAAGCAAAGTTTATAACTGTCCAATAGCAAAAGAACCCCCAAAAAATAACTAAAAAAACAAACTGAGCATCAACGGCTTCTTGTTCAAAAACACTTGCTCTTTTTCAAAAATGGGCCAAACATTACACAACCAATGACGTCAGAAAAATGTAAGGACAAGTTAGTTGTTGAAAAAAATGTATCAATACCCTTTAAATGTCCCTGAACACCGCAGTTACTTTAACTCTAAATCAATTGAAAATGTTCTAAATACAAGCACACATTTTTGGTCACACAATATGTTTACCATCTTCTATATATCTTAACATTCATTGTATATATACAGAACATGAAACCACAACTTTTCTAATTTGTACCATGTGAAAAGATAGTTCCTGGAGGAAATGTTTTGAAACTTGTAGCTGAATGACACCTGTGCCAGACTTACAACCCGAGGTAATCCCAAAACTCAATTTTCAAGCTGCTTTTATTTGATAAAACCAAATGACAATTTATTTCAAAACACTGCATTAATATATTTTGAAAGGAACACATGATGACACATTATCTGCATACTTCGTTACTAAGGATGTCTTCTATTGACAGTTTTGAGACCAGTCAATAACCATACATCAAATTATTAAAAAGATGTTGGGTGGCTTAAAATATTTATTGCCAGAAAGTACAAATGCTGCAGAGTTAAAGTAGGGGATTAGAATGTCATGTAAAGAATTTGAAACAAACAAATATGATGAATGACAGAATGTTTATGGTGAAAAAAACACATGTTAACATGGTCATCTTGTTTTCTCTAATCTTTAATTTTGTGTTTGGCTTGTACTGGGTGCGGTCCTAGATCAAAGATAGACAAGTGAAAGACAAACAGCTCATATGTGGGTGTAATTCAGCAACTCAACTCTGGCACTACTGTTGTAAATATGCAACCTAAAACCTTTACAAAAAGGCATGTTAAAACTGTTCACTAGGGACGGATTTATTTGTAAAATTGCTTGAAATGTTCCCACAAACGAAGCAAAAATAGAAACCCTTCTCTACTTGTGAATTGTGCGTTTAAGTCGTATGATAGAAACAAACAAAATGAAGGCTAGATAAACCAGTCTGGCAACGGTACAAAAACAAAAAAAGTGACCTTTACCGTAAAGGCTTTATGCAAGGAAAACACAGGTTATAAAACAGTTTTAAATAAAACTTGTTTTAAATATCAGCTAATAAGTGGACAAGGATATGTTGTTGATCTAAAAGCAATCGATAAACATGCCTCAGACATTTAAGTAGCAAACTGTAAGATATAATTTCATGTAATGTCATTTATTATTGAGCCTACATATATCTGGTTAAAACTAGGTCAATTTTAACACGCTAACTAGCTGCTGTGGTTGTTGTCAAAATGATACAGCCATTTCTAGCTAGTACTACAACTGCTAATGAATGTGCGTACCAGTTAGCTACAAGCTAGCTAGCAATCCATCGTTAGCATATGTCGATAAACAACCACACTACCCAAGGTCACTAACAAGCTAGTTGGACTTCAATATGTATGTTGCTGTTGCATGGTTAAGATAGTTTGCGTGGTAAGCATAATCTAAGGCTAATAACCAATGACAGGAGCCAAATATAGCACGCAGCCAAACACTGAGACGTAAGGGAAGTAACATTCAAAAGAACCGCAGTGCACTAGCGTTAGCTTAGCCAGCTTGCGGTGCTAGCAAGCGACATCTAGACCAGCAGTTTGCAATTAAATGTAACCGCCCGCTACGTTGTAAACCATATGTATGTGCTTAAACACACAAACATGCTGAAATATGTGCAAACCGTCAATCGTTTAACATGCATTACCTTGAAATCACGCTCTTCGTTGAACCTAGAAAATCTGTCGGCCATTTTCTGAACCGAGCAGCAGCTTCTCTATCGCTCCGTCTGTCTGTGTCCAACAGATGCGCTGTGTAGCTGCTGCTGCTGCTGCTGCTGATGATGATGTGCTCTAAGCAAATGATCCTGCCTCTGTCAACTGACCTTTCGCTAACAATTTCCACCATACACTGTAACAGTATGATTCCCAGCAATATGTTACATTTGTACTTTTAGGAATGAACTGGGGCTATATTAACACTGTAATGTCTAGGAAATGTGTATGCCCGATATGAAAAGTAACGAAGTACATATATTTTTATACTGGACCTACCTACAATTTTAATTTACTTGCACTTTATGCAGTAGGCTATTTCCATTTGTCATATACTTTATACTTCTAATTCTTCTTTATACTTATTTGACTGCTCTGTTTGCATCTGTATTAAGACTAATCTGATGACATATTAAACTAAGAAGCTAAAGTATTGTATGTATTTTGTAGTGGTTGATTGATCTTGGAATGGTATTAGGTCTATCTGAAACCCATATTGAATGTGCTCTTGACAGAATATAGCATATGGCAAAAAACAAAAACAAAAATACCAACATCATTTTGTCACATTTTTTGCCAGTTTTTAATCTATTTGAATGATGTGCTTTGCCCTTAATCTAAGAGAGCAGTTGTAGTGTGTCCTAGGAACTTTTTCTGTCCACCAGATTATAGCATCTTTGTGTTAGTCCATCGAAATTGCAGACAAGAAAAATGCTCACATTTCTTGTCATATTTTCTTCTGCAATTAAATACTTGCCAGGAGCAAACAGCAGATTGAAATCCACTCTTCTGTTTGTTCTGTTTAAACAAAATACTTGCATGGTTTGCTTTGAGAATCTCTTGGCTTTTGTTCACACAAGTGTGAAGACAGGAAGAAAGCCAGGGGTTTTACTTGGTATTGAAAAGGGGAAATTACCGGATCATCAATAATTTATTTGGCTTCTCTTCTCACATGACACACACTCAGAACTTGCAGCCCATTTCTGGATCTAATTTAAGAAAGAAACTGGCCCATTTTATTTTGTGTCACTGTTTAGTCAATGCTGATTGACTAATAAAGGCAGTTGTATAACTATGCTTGTTGTGTTTCATGTAAGATTACTATGTACAGACCCCTCCAAAACTATTGGAACAGCAAGGCCAATTGCTTTATTTTTGCTGTACACTGAAAACAATTAGTTTTGACATCAAAAGATGAATATGAGACAAAAGGTCAGTATTTCAGCTTTTAAGATCTGTTATACAACTGAGAAGATTACACCTTTTGTTTAAACCCACCAATTTTTCAAGTGAGCTAAAGTATTGGAACATGTTACTGACAGGTGATTTTTGTTGCCCAGGTGTGTCCTGCTACAGTGATTATTCAAACAATAAATAGGAGCACTGCATGTCTACTCTCAGTTTTAGCTTTGGGCTTTGCCTGTGCAGACTGCATTTATAGTTAAAACGGTGTAACCAACATGAAGACTAGAGAGCTGCCTATGGGAGAAAAGCAAGCCATTTTGAAACTGAGAGAAGATGGAAAATCCACAAGAGGCATTGCACAAACATTGGCCATAGCCAGTACAACCATTTAGAATGTCATTGAGAAAAAAGCAAGCACTATGTACTGAGCATCAGACTTCAAACTGGTCGACCGAGGAAAACATCAGCAGTTGATGACAGAAACATTGTGAGAACTGTAAAGAAACATCACCAACAACCTCCAGAGGGCAGGAGTGAAGGTATCACAATCCACCGTTAGCAGAACACTTTGGGAACAAAAGTACAGAGGCTACACCAGAAGATGCAAACACTCATTAGCAATAAGAATAGGATGGCCATATTTTGAATTTTCCAAAAAGTACAGAGACAAGGCTAAAAAAGTTCTGGGACAAATGTGTATGGACTGATGAGTCAAAGATGAATCTTTACGAAAGTGATGGAATGCCTAACGTGTGGAGAAAGAAAGGATCTGCCCATGATCCCAAACACACAAGCTCATCTGTGAAACATGGTGGAGGTTTTTGCATGACTTCTTCTGGGACCGGCTCATTAATCTTCATTGATGATGTAACACATTTGCAGCAGCAAAATGAACTCAGAAGTCTACAGAAACATTTTGTCTGCCAATTTAAAGAGAGATGCAACCAAACTGATTGGGAGATCCTTCATCATGCAGCAAGACGACGACCTACAACACACTGCCAAAACAACCAAGGAGTTTATCAGGGAAAATAAGTGGAAGGTTTTAGACTGGCCAAGTCAATCTTCAGACTTAAACCCTATTGAGCGTGCATTTTACCTGCTAAAGAGGAGACTGAAGGGAGGAACCCCTCGAAACAAACAACAACTGAAAGAGGATGTGGTGAAAGCCTGGAAAAGCATCACAAAAGAAGAATGCAAAAGTTTGGTGATGTCAATGGGTTGCAGGCTTGATGCAGTTAATGCAAGCAAAGGATTTGCAACTAAATACTAAGTATTATTGACTTTTCACACTTTTTTAAGTCTTTAAGTTCCTATACTTTTGCTCACATGAAAAATGGGTGGGTTTAAACAAAAGGTGCTATCTTCTCAGTTGTTTAACAGATCTAGATGTAAATACCTGGAATGAAAAGGAAATACTGACCTTTTGTCTATTCATCTTTTGATGTCAAACCTAATTGCTTTCAGTGTACAGCAAAAATAAAGCAATTGGCCTCGCTGTTCCAATAGTTTTGGAGGGGACTGTACATGTCGTTTTTTTTCATATTTGCAAACCTTCACCTTTTCTTATATAACTCCCTAAACATTGATCATTTGTTTACGCCCAAAATCAAACATGTATATAGCATCTCTTTATCAAAGCTTAAATGAGTGTGAATTGAAATTGCAGTTACTTTTTACTTTCCTATACCATAACATTTTGGTCATGATATCCTTCTTCAAAATCAAAGGATACAAACATCTGTGCTAAGTTCAACAATCGATTGTGACGTTGCTAAAATTATTAATCAGAAAGAAATAGCCTAACCTATCTCAGTATAAATACTAAAGATTGCACATCAGGCAACCAAAATGTTTACTAATAACAATAAGATGCCTTCTGTCAGTAGTTTATGACTCCATCTTGAGGTAAATCTGTGTCAGTACAGTCTAGATGAAAATAAGATAAATACAAAAACGTATAGATACACAACCCAGTTAAACTTTTAAAATGGTCTTAATTTCTTTATAGCAAGGAAAGAAACAGACAGCTATCTAGACTCGAACAATTAAAGCCAAAAAGGAGGACACCACGGATTATTATGGCACAATTTATGCTTTTTAATGAGACAACTAGCACTGTTCTTTAAATCCCAAAGTATATGGAAAAATAAATACACTCCTACTTCAATTAAACAAAAAACAATGTTGATAGAAAATAAATATTTATTGAAATCTTGAAGAGGCAGAAGAGGAAATGCTTGGTGACTTACAAAACCCCATTGTTAACTTAATTGCACAAATAACCTATTTTAATGCCATGCTACTTTTCTCAATCTCATTGTGTAGTTTCCATTTTTTTTATTATTTGCGTTTATAGTTTTATTTTGCCTCTTCACAGGAAGTACAGAAACTGCAGCTTCAAAATAAAAGCATAACTGACACTTACTCACAATGTCAAAAATAAAACACGATTGCAAGTAGCCCTGAAAAATTATCAAAACAATAAATAAATAATAATACCAATTGTGACGAATCTGTATAATGTCATTTGTAATGCTTTCATATTATTATTAAGGGAACATGGTGCTTACTTTGAAATTAAAACCGGAAACCCTATTCTAGGTTAGCTATGATCTGATCACCATCGGCCGACGCCTACTAATTGGGAGCTCGGTAAGAACACAATCTAATGTACATTTATCGATAAATCAAATAGTCTAAGCGATTGTATAACCTTAACCATATCTGTTGTTTATTGAATTTCTTATTTGATCAGTTTTGACTGATAAGCGACGGCCAAAACAGTCTTAAGTTTGACATGAAATGGCGGTCAATGTGGCAAGAAGGAAGTTATTATTTTAGTAACGATACACTGAGGGATACATGGTCGAAGAACAATCCGCCTAACGGGGGAAACTTATGATTATATTTTGTTTTTGACAATAGTTAAACACAAGGTCGGTACAGTAAATAGCAGGCTGCTGTTACTGTAAGCTCGACTGTTGTTTCACCAAACTTTTTCAGAGCCGTTCATACGCCTGAGGAAGCCAGATGTCTGTGATTAAAGCAACTCCAGCTTGTGTTTGTCACGGAAGTCTTATGACCTATAACTTTAAGGATAAACTATTACAGTGATAGATAATATAAAGAGTATACAAGAGGAGATTAATAATACATTCATAGCCATAATACAAATGTAATACATAGGAAAATCATAATTTTGCCCTCACTAATTATGAGGTATCACCATAAGAGCTAATATGCTCATGTCATTATGTAAAATATTGATATGGCAAAATGAAATCATTAACTCCTATCTGTCTGATTGATAGCAATAAACCATTATTAGCTCATATACCAGATTTAAGTGCTTCAAAGTAGTCACCCATGATGACAGACCATGTTGAGTCGAAGTTTTGCAGCCTTTCTACACAACAACATGCTGTACCATTCTTGCATATAGCATATATAATGTATAAAAGAAATGCCAAATTTAAAGTGTTTCATGCTAGACTGTTAAAAGTGTTAATGCTTCATGAAATGTAATGGTCTTTGAATTCAGTCAATATGTTTCTAATCTTTCCCCTTGTAAAATAAAATGCCATTCAGCATATTATCCTGGCATTTACATAATTTCCCATAGTTGAAGTTAACATTTTCACATCTAACATACAGACCATTATCAGTGGATTTAAAATGAGCAGCAAACGTTAGGAAAAGAGAACTTCCTGTATTGACAGTTAATAGTGAAGTAACAGGAAAGGGAAGTTGTTAAGAGAGAAGTGTGACAGTCATACTGTAGCCGGCAGATGTTTTTAAAATATATGTAGGCTAGGACTGGGACAATGTCCTCAG